ATAGGAAGTCATTAGTAGCCACTGTTGAGGATGGAAAACAGTGAATTCTCAATTTTCCGTATATTTGTAGAAAGGTGATTAAAACTATAGGAGAACCATGGTAAGGTGGGTCTTTTGAATTTGCGAACTAATATAACGAATACCTACCTAGTTGAATTTGACAAGACGATGGGATGTCAGATTTTTACGCCACCCTACTGTCATCATTACTCTTATTACTCGATTCATCACAATAATGTCTGTCATTAAATGTCGAAAATCGAATAAGCAATGTATGAATGACTCCATAGTTGTGGATAAACAAATTTATTACAAAATTTATTTGGTTTAAATTCGAAATTGTTTTAAATATTCTGATAATGCGTTGTTGTCAGTTCCGCTCCTTTTGGACCCTGTCGGGCGTCGGCCTGTTTGCTGTTTGGGTCCTATTTAATGGTTATTTGAGGTTTCTTCAAAATTATATTCTCATGGTAAGAGGAGAAATTCATTTCGCTTACTTTATACGCACAAATTGACAACTTCGAAGACTGATAAATACGAAATACCTATTAAATGCATATAAACCGTTGAATACTTGAACTGAATAATTCAAATTTCTCGACGCATTTTGATCCACGACCATACTATCAAGACTATGACCAAGACTGAGCCAGTATTGTCTTGGTCTTGGTCTTGAACCATCAAGACCAACACCAAAGTCAAGGCTACATTAATTTTTCGTGACCAAGACCAAGGCTGATCAGTCTTGGTCTTGGTTTTGGTCTTGCGAAGCCCTCTATAGAATATAATAGGATAGTTTATTTACCAAGAATATAACATTCACAGAAGAACATTTTACATTGTAGCAGTGTGCGTATATATAACGGTAGCATAATTATGTGAATAAACGAAATATACTCACGAAACTATACCTCAAATACATGAGTATCAAGGATTAGTTTGTATGTGAGATAATTTGAAGAGAATGAAAAAAAAGGATCTATTTGGGACCTTCTACGGACCATCAACTCAACTAGATGTCCTTATCAGTTATGCAAGATCTGGTCTTAGAGGGACCCAGAAAAATTCAAATTCAAGAATAATTCGTACGTCCCTGGGACATCCTATGGACATTAAATTGATATCCCTCAGCATTGCTGATAGGTTGTCCTACGGATGTCCGAAGGATGTCCTCCGTAGTGCTTGATGAGGAATACTGTAGGATTTAGGTATTCGATAGTTTTCCCAGGAAGATCCCTCAAGGACGTCCCTAGTTGGTCCTCAAGTGGGACATTTGTGCGTCCCACAGACGTCCAATGGACGTCCACGGTACTACTTTCAAACGTCCTATATGGACGTCCTGAATGTCCCGACAGGGCGTCCTATGGATATCAATGGGACATTATTGTGTTATTAATAGGGTAGTAATTGAATCAGAAAGATTTTTGACAAATTTAAGCTCCATCAACCTTATATTCTGGACATATCGGTGATCCCATGAGGGTTGCTGAAAAGCAATGTGTATTACTCGAACATTGACTTATTTTTGTATTTCTCTTGCATATTTCAGAATCCCACTTCAATAATGATGGAACATACAGAGAAAGCTCTATGAAAAATTATCAAACACACTGTTCGAGCCGCATGAACCTAAATACCCATTGACCGATTTAAAAAAGAAAGAGATCCTTCAATATACTCATTACTCAAAGAGTTCTCTTGAATAATGAGGATGATTCTGGAACATTCCTGAAATATCCATATTCTCAAGGTCCAAGTCCAAATAATTTTCGCTGAATGATTAGAAATTTCAATTTTCTAATAGCAAACAAATAAGCTTTTTATCAGCGACTCATTCGAAAAAATTTAGATAACTTTTTGACATGTTGCGAAAGCCAAGTTATCTCTTTCTAAGAGAAACTCAACGCATGAGTCGAATTTATAAATAGATTATAATCAAAATGATGATGCCAACTTTCTGAATAACACTGTATTGCGATCGTCTTACCAAAGACCTATTGCTCACATCGTCATCCGAAAACAAGCCCAGTCACATACTTTGGTTGTCAACCTTGAAATATGTCGAACAACAATTTTCCAAAATTCGTTTGTCTATTGAACGACAAAGCTCTGGAATTCTTTGCCAATGGAAGTATTTCCAAGAGCCTATATAACTCACAAAATCTTATACCTTCCACCTCTCCCTTACCTTTCCTGGCACGCACGATGACCTCCGAACATTATAGGGACTCAAGTTCAAGTTGTGTTCCAAGGAATTTTGTACAGTCTGATAATTCTAATCGCGGATCAATATGAAGTGGACGATAGTATTTGTTTGAAAATTGAATGAACGTTGTTTTATCCAAATTGTTTATCAAATGGTTACATCTACACCATACTTCGAATTCATCAATGACTGATTTTTTATTATTATTCATTTCGTCTGGACTTGGAGAAGCCACAATAATGATGGTAGTATCATCGGCGTACATAAAAACTCGGCCTTCTGTTATATTTTCTGGAAGATCGTTTACGTATAATAAAAACAGCAGTGGTCCAAGTACTCCCCCTTGCGGTGTTCCCAAGTCCTTATCAAATGGATCTGATATGTGGTCATTTACTTTGACTACCACTCACACATTACTTCTCGTGCGCACCAAAAGATTAAAAAAAACAACACTACCATCCACACAGTTATAACTATTTCTTCGAGGTCATTTCGTTTAACATGTATACTAAAATTAGCTTCACTTATACAGAATCATATCAATGGCCTTATATACTGTTCTCTACATTATTAGTTTGAAGGTTAACCCTTCATCAAATTCTCACACCAAGGAAATCAGGAGTGGCAGGTTTTATATAATTTTAATTTAATATTCTCTGGGCGCTTTTGGTTTAAAGTGATAACCCGACCGTTCCAGAGATCTTGCTCCAAAGGGTAAAGGAGTTTCAATGTCAATGTCGTTTCGTACGGAAGGTGGCATGGAATTGAATAGTTGTTCTCGGATTCAAAAATATATTGGGTTTATCGATTGTTATAACACTATCATTCAAATTAGAAATCGATTAATCATCAGATTTTTAGACAACAATTTCGAGTGGCGATAGAGAGACTTATAAACAAAAGGGAGTAATTTCAAAGAAGATTACTCCAGACCAGTGGCGGCTCCTCAGAGGAGGCAACGTAGGCTGAGCCTCCTCAGAGATTTTCCTTAAACTAATATTATCTATACTTTCTCATTAGAAGGACACCAAAATACATGGATTTCGATTTTATTTTCTGTTTTTAGTTAAATATTTTTGAATTGGCAACAGTGTTTGCCCACGCATCACACGTTGAAGTCTGCAAATCACGCGTAAAATATTCAATTTGGCAACATCTATAGGAGGCTAGACTTGTTACGGTTTAAAATTCCACTGATAAAAATAATGAAACAATACTGCTTTTATTTCAATTTATTAATAATCAAATTTCTTTTCGGGTAAACAGCCAACTTGATAGTTGAGATCAACCTCAGGGCATATCGATTAGAACAATCTGAATCTTCGCGCGCTTCACACTGATCGTTTCACCTTGGTCCGTCTAGAGAACCGAGCCCGTGAATGATTTGATCCTTCCGTTTGGTACTGATCTACGCTCAAGATTGATAAACCGACTAGGGAGGTGTCAGGCCGCGTGACGTCACTCTCTTATTAAGGTGGATCTGAAATGGATCGTAGGCTCGCGAACTTGACCGTTTCATGAATGATCATAGTTCAATCGTAATTTCCATTTGTCAAAAAATTCAAGGCCAAGGTTGAAATCGAAGATAGGTATTTTTTTGTAAAAATCAAGACATTTTTCAACACGTGTTTCTTTGGGATAATTTGGCTACTTGTTGGAAGTGCTAGCACCTGTTCGGTGGATTTAATTTTCCCTATAAAAGAAAAGTTAGGTAGTTAAAATAATCGTTGAAATCAAAATAATGTTATATCAAGGGATATAGGTTGCATCATGGAGATGGATCTTTGATTCAACAATTGACTACCCACAAGTTTTGTTGATAAAAACTTACCTAAAGGCCACACATCATCATTGAGGTAGGTTCTTGGCTCAATTGTACTAATTTCTTATACTCATATCCAGAACTCTTTCCAGTTGCTTTTCTTAACATAAGATCATTTCTTGTAGGCCTTCTAGTATATACCCTCTCAGACATCCCGTACTTGCTTGTACCATTGAGCTTATGATACCATGCATGATTTGCTTGATAGTTGAACCCTAATCTAAGTACTGCATTACCTATGCTATTCACCTTTTGCTTGATTAGAGTAGCATTTGAAGATCAGACATCAATCGCAGAAGAAAGTACTCTAAGATGAAACGATCAGTCTGAGGAAGCCCAAAGACTTCTGTGCTGCAAACTGAACCTCAGCAGTATAACCAGGCGAGTCTGTTCCATATTATTATTGTTAGTGCAGGATAACTGCTTCGCTTTGCTTTCTATGTGACTTAACTGATTATTAACCGTCCTGTATTTCTCATACCTTCAACGACAGCAGTGTTAGAACTCACTCAGGGAGTTAGTTATATGAGGTTTGCCAAAGTTTATAATTTACTTTGAAAGTATTAGGTGCAGTGTACAGGATTACTCACCTAGTAATCTTAAGGGTGTGTTTCTCAGTATTTATCGATATAGTGATAAGTGTTCATAGGTTTAAGACTGCACTTTCAGTATATATACTGAAGGTACCCTGGAAGGTTGAACCTTCAGAGCTAGGTACTTGTAAGTGAGTAGGACGTAGGTCAAAATCATTACTGTGTTTTGTATTTATTTTGAATTCACTAGTCAATATAGAGATAAGACTGCCTACCTCCCACTGTGAAGACAATCAGGTGTCGCTAATATAGGTCATTTGAAGCATATTTCTCATTTCTCAATTTGCCATTTCATTGTTATTGTGTAAGAAGAACATCCCATAAAACCACTTAGAGCCAATTCCACACGTTCCCCTTGAACCTTCCCCTTAACAAAGGTCAGCTTAAATCTAAGTGTAACTTAAATGTTATTCCTATTCCACCATCAGTTTCAAACCAGCCCTCACCTAAGTGGCAGTTCACATTTTGTTAGTCGCAGATATTAGATGGGGCTTACTTCATTGTTGTTGTTAAGTTGATGTTCTGTGATATTATTCTGGTGTTTTCTGGTTTTGTGTACTTTACTTTTATATTTCGCCAAAATGACGACATAACCTTCTGTTTTGTTGATATTTTTTTCATTGGTGTTATTTTATTTTAGAATCTAGAAGGTACCTATATTTCCAGAAAAAATGAGTGATGCCGATGAGAAGAAAGTGAAGAGAGCCAGGTCATCAAATTATACCCAGCAGGAGAAAAACCTGCTTTTAAATATCATCTTGAGATTCAAACATGTAGTAGAATCAAAGAAAACCGATGCGGTGACCTGGCGTGATAAAAATTCTACATGGACCAAAATAGCAACTTTGTTCAATTCTCAGTCACCAACTGGAACCTATAGAGATGTAACTTCACTGCGCAAGGTTTATGAAAATGTGAAAAAGACTGTGCGTAAAACAGTATCAGATGAGAAAGTTTCATTTAAAAAAACTGGTGGTGGAGAAGCCTCATTCAATGATGATCCAACAATAGATTTGGCATTAGAAGTTATCAACACAAAAACTGTTTATGGTTTATCAAACCCCTTTGATAGTGACTGTCAAGGTGATAAACAGGAGGAAGAAACTGTTCAGCCATACACAGAAGAATCATTCAGTTGCAATGCAGAAAATGTTGAAACTGTAATAATTCGCATGGAAGATGAATTGGTAAGCACAAGTAGATCTTGAGAAATACTTAAATTATATATTATGTAGATAGTATAATGACCATTTTGTGATGAAAAAATAATTCATACACTTCTAATGATACATCAACTATATTTTCATGACTCATGCTGTCCTGACCACCTTTTCTTCAGGATGATTCACATCCATTTTGCAACATTTGTCTAATTTTTCAACCCATATGAAAAATGACATTATTTTATTATTTTAGGATACACCTGTTGATACTGTTGATTGGGGAGACTTTAAGGTTTCACATCTCCACACACCAGTGCATTCAAAATTGAAACATAATAGTTCAAAGGCCATGAAGACCACCCAATTGCCTGCAGAAAAGGAATTTTCTGCAGCCACTAATGAGCCTGAACCTTCTACATCAACATCTTGGTCAGCGAAAAGGAGACCCATCACATCTGCATTAGCTTCATCAGATATTTCAAAGAAGTATATTATGCTTGCTGATTTGAAAATCCAAATAGCAAAACATGAGTTAGGACAAGTAGAAATTTCAAGAACTAGAAAGGAGCAGCAAGATAAGATAGAATTCGAACTTAGGAAGAAATCATTGGAACTGGATATTGAAATAAAGGAAGCAATTCTTAAAAAAATTGATTATTTAAATCCATCAGATTTAATTTCTCTCATGAAATGAATCATGTATTGTATTTTTGAAAATAAAATTTACTAATTGAGGATTTTTATTCATCTATTCAACAATAAATCTTTATACATGTGTTCCAGTATATTTTGACACCTGTAGAAAAATCCTGCAACTCTTGATTTATTTATTTCTACTTTTATAACAAACTTCACAGGAGGTGTCAAAAATATGCATGAACATACTACAATAAAAATATGTCAATAATCATTCATAACATGTAATATTAAAATATGTGAAATTAACTGAAATTATGACAGCAGATCATAATCTTGCAAAATAATTATCAATAAGATCTCTTCGAACTCTTGGACCTAAGAACTGTCTCTGGTCAGCATAAGGCACAGGAGGTATATTTCCTTCTCTTATCAATTGTTGAAATTGGTGGTCATCTACTTGTTGAGGTAATGGTGGTTCTTGCTCGTTCTTTTTTCTGGCAATATTATGAAGTACTGCAGTAGCCACAATCACTGTGAGAGTATTTCTCAATTTTAACCTACTTCCATAAGCTAATATTGGGAATCTCCTTTTCCAAACACCAAAGAGCCTTTCCACCACAGTTCTAGTTCTTATATGAGATTCATTATAACGCTGTTCTGCATCTGTATTTGGATTCTGTAGAGGTGTTAATAAGAATTCTCGAACTGGATAAGCACTATCACCTGCAAATTGAAAAATTGTGCACTTAAGTAAGGATGAAATACTCTGATATTGGGATAACAAATAACATTCGATTGTTATCCTAACATTGATTAAATACGAAAAATACCCACCAAGAAGAAACATATTTCTATGCACATTATTTTCAAATTCTCTCCTAATATTGGAACCATTGAAAATTGTAGCATCATGGGCAGAACCAGGCCATCTTGCTACCAAGTCAACTATTTCTAGTTTTGCATTGGAAATGACCTGCACATTGAGTGAGAAGTAGTTTTTTCTGTTCCTATATACTTCTGCATCATCTCCACCTAGGTGAACAAAAAAAAAATATATTTTTCACATAAATTAGATGTTGCAGATTTGTCTAACTCACCAGGCGACTGAATACGTATATGAGTTCCATCAATGGCTCCTACTACATTGGGAAAAGAAGCTTTTTCATAGAAAGCATTCTTCGCTTCATCAATATCTACTTGGTTTATGGGAAACTTAATGTATTGGGGAGCCAATCCTGCGATTGCCAAAGACACCCGGTTTACGATTCGGCAAATAGATGAATTGCTAATTTTAGCAATATCAGACACAATCAACATGTGACTATTCGAGGAATAGTACATTAGTGTGATGAGTATCTGATTCATTGGGGATATTGACTGGTTACTGAAAAACATGAAATGATATTACCATGCCATGTTTATTGTAATTGGATTCCTACACATCAAAAGGGTATTCCAAAAGTGGTTCCAACGCTGGAAGTAACTCGAGAACGGTTTCTTTTGTGAGACGAAATCTTCTGAAGAAAGACAAATCATCATAAGAATGAAAAAAGTCAACCCTGGGACGAACTTGGCGTGGAACTCCATATTCAATAATCTCTAATATTTCTATATCGTCTTCAAAGCCATCCATCCCTATTTCTATTTCTATAATGATCAGCAATTTTCAATTTATGAAAATTCAAAAACAAATCTGAGGTTAGAATACTCAACCTCAACACAAAACCGAGTCACAGACCAAACTGATAACTGATCCTTAAATATAAGGGGAACCTTACGTACCGCTTAAGTAGGCGGAGCTTGAACTGTGGTTTAGAAATTGGTGGAATGCATTAAGCTGAACTTAACTCTTAAGTCCCGCTTAAAGTGGCACTTTAATTTTAAGTCTGATGTGTGGAATTGGCTCTTATTAGTTTCTCATATCAGTATATTTTGATTTTGTATCATTCGACGATTAGGATGGTTGTTTACCTGTGTCATCACTTAGAATGTGAAACGTAATATCTGACGTCTGACCACGTATGACACGGAACACAAAACTTACTTGAGTTCTCTGTGCACTGTCAATCACAAACAAACCAGTGTTGCCGCGCTTATTAATTTTCCGTGGGGACCCAAATCTCGGGGTTGCCAAGCCAGAAGTTTCGGTAGAACTAAGTATAAGTATATGGATATGATAAATTAAATCTTCTATGATTAAACCAAGTGATCTGAATTGAGCCTTGCTTATTTCCACACCCTCTCTCCCTGAGCCCGGGGAATAATATTTTCTCAAACTTTTATCTAAGATATCCCGTACGCTTGATCTTTTCTTATGCCACATATGGATAATTAGCAACCAGGGAAAAGACAAGGTAACAACTGGCGCCCAACCAAGTTTTGATTTCTTTGTTCCATATACAGGGTGGTTCGACAATGGATGTTTGAATTTTTTTTTGTTTTTCTGATAAAATTTGTCATTTGTAGATACTATTGTATTATTATTCGTAGTAAGTACACACAGATTTCCTACTGTTCATACTGTGGATTTTGTAAATACAGGGTGGGACTGTATACTTGTAATTTTTTTTTGCTGTCAAATCTGTATATGGTTCTGAGATAATTATTGTACTTAGTAAAGTCAGACATTATTTCGTTTCATAAGTACAAGGCCTATAGAGTTTACTTTATTTCAATTTCACAAATTTTTAACTTGCTGGTTTGGCACACTGAGATTTTGGCTCATCTGCTGGGATTTACTGTTTTGAAGCGACGGATATAGTACTGGCTGTCGCACCAACTTTTTTTTTCTTCTTGTGGATACCTCATTCTCTTTCTCTTGAGAGGAAGGAGGGGGGTTTGGGTTTCCTTTCGTTGCTGAACTCTTGCTAGGCAGTTCATATACACGATGGAAGTGAATAGATTGTTAGGCGATGAAATCGCCTATGAACTGAAAATAAGAAATTTGCCAGTATTGACTACTGTGAATGAAAATCGAATGACATTGCGAGGGGCATTGAGGTGCGAACGTGAAGGCAGTAGCATGGTCAAAGTGGAGGGACTCAACCTGATTCCAGAGGAGGAGTATGAAATTTGTCGACGGAAGTTAGTTGATCTCCAGGAAGACATCAAACAATTCGATGTGGAGAATAGATTGAATGAGTTCAGGAGAATATCTACGAGACTGTACCATGTTCACCACAGGATACAAAGAGCTCCTGGTGGAGATGAACAGCAGGAAGAACTCAGACGCTCTCTACTATGTCGATGTATGATCCTGGTCGACGAAGTTGGAACAATAAATGAAGAAGTTCTTTACCCCGAGAATAACTCTGACGTAAGGAGTGGTAAAAATGACGGTATCATGGATAGTGAGAATCCTTTGACAGGTTCCCTTATAGACGCACCAAACCTTTTGCTTCCTGAGGTGACACCAACTCCGAAAGAAGCTTCAAGAAATAACTTACAGAGCCCTGAAGCCGCTGACTGTGAGGCTTGTGGACAGGATAATACCTCACAACCGAGACCTAGTGGAGTAGCTGACTTAGCTAGGGAGGCACTATCAGACATCCGCGAAATACGCCAGAGCCTAGGTGCTAGACAGGTACCGAGTAGAAACATCTTGAGAAGAGAATCATCCAGAGCTAGGATGGACGAGGTGGAGACGAATATACCTCGAGTCTCGTCTAGACTACGGGATTATCCTGTAGGTAGAGATACCCTAGGGTTTGGTCTGCCAACTCAGGTCCAATTCCAGCCTGAACCCGAAATTCCCAAGCAAAAACCACCACCGTATTACGACATTCCCAGGCAACAGGACATTCGGAGTACATGGCATTCCGTGCAGGCACCGACGACAAACGCTACATGTGATACCCTATCTGGCCTACAAAATCTTCACTTGTCTCCTATCAATAATTCAATGGGGAGTGGGCAAACAGCACCGTCATACTTTGATGTGTCTAGATGGAAGATCCATTTCGACGGAGAGAGTAGTGTGACCAATTTTCTAGAAAGAATAGAAGAATTGAGATACTCGCGAGGTGTTACTAGCACCCAGCTCTTGCGGTCGGCTGCGGAAATTTTCACAAGAGATGCATTATTATGGTACCGGACTCATTTTTTCGACTCGTGGGAGGATTTGATCCAACAACTAAGAAACGATTTCATGCCATACGATTACGAGCACGACTTATGGGAGGAGATTCGGAAACGAACCCAAGGAGCTAAGGAAAAAGTTATAATCTATATTTCCGTCATGGAGAACTTATTCAATAAGTTAGGCACGTCTAGACCGTCAGAAGAAACTCGAGCACAAATGATTCGACGTAACTTGCTCCCGTATATCCAATCTCAGATAGCGCTACACCCAACTAATTCCGTCGTGGAACTAACACGCCTGAGTCGAATGGTGGAAGAAACTGCAATAAGAAGTCAAAGATTCTGTCCCCCACCAACAAATTTCCGGCAATGTGTGGAGCCTGAGCTGGCATATCGGAGAGCACCTGCACACACAGCAAATGCTTTGGTAGCACAAATGCAGCAGCCTGAGATATCAGTGGGACCAGAATCCATTGCCACTGTTATACCAAATCCGTCGAGTGTCCATAATAATTCGAGACACCTCACTGATACGTCACCTTCTCCGATGAACCTAGTGAATGCAACATGTTGGAATTGCCACGAACCAGGTCATCGCTTCAAGAAATGCCCTAAACCACGTCGATTATTTTGCTTCCGCTGTGGTCAAGAAGGTGTTACAGCTCCTAATTGTATGACATGCCGTCAAAAAAATGGGAAGGGGGGCAAGCACTAGGTCGGGTGCAGCCGTCCCCATCCTCCCCACCGACCCAGACGCACTCAACTCTAGCAGTACTTGACTTCGTATTGGCACATGCTAAGAATGACGCCCGACCATATCTAAAAGTAGAGATATATGGGAAGGAAATTTTAGGACTCCTCGACTCCGGATGCAGTACGACTGTTATTGGTCAGCCCTTATGGAACATGTTGAGGAAATTCTGCCCAATCGGAGTGACTAGCCTGAAGGTATGTACCGTCGCTAATGGTAATTCGTGTGAGGTCTTGGGCTGTATAACCATCCCGATCAAGCTGGA